TAATCAATTTTTCTTTTATATAGTAGATGCAAATAATAGAAAAATGAAGTAATAAAAATAATTCATCTTATAAGACCTCCATGAGCAGTAAATATTTAGAAATAAATTTAACAAAAGACAGGTGAGAGCTGTAGATTGTAAACTTTAAAACATGTTGATAAACATTAAGGCAGATGAGTTATGACATGAATACTCAGCATTATTGAGATGTTAGGGCTCTCCAAACTTATCTATAGATTCAATGAGTTAAAATGAAATTCAATAAAATTCCAGCAGGCTTTTTAATAGAAATTTCCAAGATGATTCTAAATTTTATAGAGAAATGCAAAAAACCTAGAAAAAATAAACAGTTCTGATTAGAAGAGTTACACATTGTGCCTTTAAGGTATACTAAAAAGCTGCAGTAATGAAGGCAGTGTAGTCATGGCTTACAAGCTGAAAATAGATGAATAAGATAGAATAGAGAGCCCAGAAATAGTCATTTGATTTTGGCCAAAGGTGCTCAGGTAATCCAATTGCATGAGAAAGACAATTCAACAAAATGGACTGGGATAACTGGCTATAAATATGGAAAAACAAGAATATTGACTTCTCCAGCAAATCACACACACACACACACACACACACACACACACACGCACACATGCTCACAAATTTAAGGTTATAACAGACCAAAACTAAAAGCTAACACTATGAAGAGTGTGGAAGAAAACACATATCTTTGTGACTTGCAGGTAGGCAATGTTTCTTAGGTCCTAGAAAGTGAAATAAATAAATGGAAAAAAAAAAAGAATATAGGTGATGGGGGGATGGAAAGAGCAAACCACGATGGCATGTGTATACCTATGTAACAATCCTGCAAGATCTGCACATGTGTACCAGAAGTTAAATAAATAAATAAATATAAAATTTTAAAAAAGAAAAAAGAAACTGATGATCTTAAAGAAAGAAATTGAAAAATTAAAATTTCATTTTTACTTGTTAAAAGACACAATTAAAAACAAATACTTAAAAGGCTACAGACAAGAAAAAAGAAAATGAGAACTATATTTGACTAAGAGCTGGTATCCAAATTATATGGTGGCTTATGCCTGTAATCCTAACAGTGTGGGAAGCTGAGGTGGGTGGATTGCCTGAGCTCAGGAGTTCAAGACCAACCTGGCCAACATGGTGAAACCCAGTCTCTACCAAAATACAAAAAATTAGCTGGGCATGGTGGCAGATGCCTGTAGTCTCAGCTTCTGAGAAGGCAGAGAGGCATAAGAGTCACTCGAACCAGGGAGGCAGAGGTTGCAGTGAGCCAAGATTATGCCGCTCTACTCCAGTCTGGATGACATAGTGAGGAAAAAAAAAATCTCCTTGAACTCAATAATAACAGGACAAATAACCCAATAAAAATGGATAAATATTTAAAGACAAAAGAAGATATACAAATGGTCAAATAAGCACATAAAAAAGTTTTCAACAGGAAACAGATATTTAATAAAAATTAAATATGACAACTAACCAACTAGTATAGCTAAAATTTTTTAAAGTGACAATAAAAAGTGATGAATACATAGAGCAGCTAGTATTCTCATACACTGCTGCAGTATATTTATCCAACAGAATAGTACAGGAAAATAAAGCAAACTTCTGATAAATGCAGCAACATGAATGAATCTCAGCATCAGTATGCCAAATTTTAAAAGTCTTATACAAAAGAATACAGGTAGTGTGATTCTTGTTTTAAGAATTTCCAGAATGGAAAAAAGTAATCTATGGCAAAAACAAAACAAAACAAAAAAACTTCCAAGGACAAATTTTAACAAGAGGTGACTAGGAAGAAGCATGAAGAACTTTTCTGAGTGACATTTCTGTATTTTTATAGGAGTTTTGTAAGTATGTGCACTTTCCAGAACTCAATGGATGGACCCAGCAATTCTACTTCTGGGTGTTTATGTCAAAGATTTGAAATCACCATGTGGAAAAGATGTCTTCATCCCCATGTTCACTGCAACATTATTTACAATAGCCAAATTATGGAATCAACCTAGGCGTCCACCAACAGATGAATAGATTAAGAGAATATGGTAAAGATCCACAGTGGAATAATGTTCAGCCTTAAAACAGAAGAAAATTCTGTCACTTGTGACAACATAAATGGGATTGGAGAGCATTATGCCAAATGAAAAAAGCTAGGCACAGGAAGACAAATACTGCATGATCTCATTTCTATGTGCACTCTAAAAAAATTGAACTCACAGAAGCAGAGAGTAAAATGGTGGTTACCAGAGACTGGAGCTGTAGGAAAAAGGGGGAGATGATGGTCAAAGGGTACAAAGCCCAGGTTTCATAGGATAAATAATTTAGTTTGTGTTTTATTGATACCTATTGCATAGCACAGTGAATTTACTTAATACTAGTGTGTTTTACCACACAAAATCTCAGAAGAGTAAATTTTAAGTGTTCTCACCACAAAAAGTAAGTATTTGAGGTGATGGACATGTTAATTTGTTTGATTTAATCATTTCACATTGTATTCATGAATTATAACATCACTTTGGTCCCATAAATATATACAACTATAGTTTGTCAAATTATAATAAATGAATACATATATACATACATATTTACATACATACATACATAAAATGCAACAAATATGTAGATGCACATTTAAGATTTATGCATTTCATTTTATGACAATGTTACACAAAGAAAGATTTAATTATTAACATATATTAGGCCAGGTGCAGTGGCTCATACCTGTAATCCTAGCACTTTGGGAGGCCAAGGCAGGAGTTGCTTGAGCCTAAGAGTTTCAGACCAGCCTGGACAACATGATAAAACTCCATCTCTCTATAAAATACAATTAGCTGGGCATGACGGCATGCGCCTGTAGTCATCCCAGCTACTTGGGAGGCTGAGGTGGGAGGATCACCTGAGCCCAGGAGGTTGAGATCAAGGCTGCAGTGAGCCTTGATTGTGCCACTGCACTCCAGCCTGAGTGACAGAGTGTGGCTGTATCTCAAAACAAACAAACAAACCAAAAACAAATACGAAACTCTAATGCTAAGCTTATTCATGTATTGAGGGGAAAGTAAACTGATGTTTGTAATATAATTTGAAATGCATAAAAATAACATGACAAATAAATGGATTGATAAATGGATGAAAGGATAGATGAGGAAGATGGCATAAAACAGAAATAGTAATGAGTATGTATATGTATGTATATCTTAATGGGTCTATTGGTATATGTATATATTAGTGGGTATATGTACTTTGAAAATTCTGCTCTATGTGTTAAAATTTTTTCATAATACAGTGTTTGGGAGCATGAACTAGATGCAACAGGTAAATATAATTATTTAGTGGTTGTTTTGAAATAGCAAATGTAAAATATTTAATAAATTGCTTGGTTTTATAGTAGATTCTAAATTAATATTTCTAGTGATTCATATACACGTGCAAATAAAACTCTTCATCTGTTAATGGATTTATTGTAGTGAAAACGAAGTTGACCCAATCAGTGTTTCTGTGGAATAAACATACAGTCTGATTTAACATTGTTGTCCTAGAAAGATTCATCACTATTTCTCAACAGGAGTTTATAAAATAAGTATGTGTTATTATTAAAACCAAGCTGAGTGAAACTTACAGGGGAAATGTTGAAAAAAGTGGTCATGGAGAAAATGACAACTAGATGTCTAAATTAATAAGATCAGTTTCTGTTTGTTATTGAATTATAAAAACATCCAATTACATAATATTCACAGATTTGGAGGCTGTGTGGTACACATTACATTCACTTACTTTGTAGACCTGAGGGAATGAGTCAGTGTTGCCTATTAGAGATGCTGAAATTAGATTAAACTGTCCTGTGTATGTACAATTAAATAACATACCACTCTAGGCTGTTTACCAGAATTAAACAATGGCTAACACAATGAAATTGACTCAGAGGCATAGGAAGCCTGGGGTAATTGTGAAAGTGACTTGAAACTCTCCAGTCAGATCATCTGCATCATCATGTGCTTATGAGCTTTGTGAATCCAGACTAGTTATCTTTTCAGTGAACCTATGATTCTTCCTCAGTAAAGTGCAAATTAAACAGTATCTGTCTTATATAAGTTTTTCAGGAGTTGAAAAATAACTTGAGGGAAGAGATAGAAATCTCTCAATTAATGTTAGCTTCTTTCATGCTGAGAAGGTAAAAATATGCAGAGTCTAAATATGTTGTCAATATGGTTATGGAACTAAGTTTATTATTCTGCACATTTGTCCAGTGAGGGATTCAGAATAAATGAGGGCTTGGGGTCAGAGAGAGAGAGAGAGAGAGAGAGAGAGAGAGTGTGTGTGTGTGTGTGTTTTGTTATTTTCTTTTATCTAATAGACCAGTCTCATTTCCTCTTTCTACTTACCATCTGACGGCTCCTCATCCTTTTAATATCTGGTGCTCAGAGACAGAGCTATTATGTGTAGAAATGGCCCAACAGAAAAAAGATGAAAATTAAACAACAGCAACAATAGAGATTCTTTTGAAGAAAACCAATGAAGGAAGTTATATGCATTGGAATTACAGTATTTGGCTACACAAGATGTCTTGATGAAGCAAATGCTCTACAGTTCTTAGTTTACTCTGCAGTGGATATCTAGTTTACACAACTTAGAAGTCACTTTAAAAACCATATTTTTCAATTTTCTTTTATTCCACTGACCCAACACAGTAATGTATTAACCCCGTTCTTAGAGTGACTACACAGAGCTCGAAAAAGTCCAAGTATGCACAGTGTGGAGTTGTTGAGGCACGGGAGAACAGTGGCATCTATGATTGTCTTTAAGCTTTTGAGATGTGATTGGCTTACACGTGAAGATCTTTTATTTGAAGAGGAAAAATTCAGATTACATACAAAAAACAATGACTTGAGGAATTCACTTCACTGGCAGTTTTTATGAAAACTGGCATACCATAACTACTAAAATCCATAAGGTACTGGAATCACAATAGAACTTACCTGGATCTTAGAAGATGAAGGATTAAAGTTTTTCTATTTAGTTTTATTTCATACAATAATTCTTCTTCATACTTATTCTAAAAAAGAAGATGCATAACATGACTTCAGCGTGGGCTCACTTAGCGTGTGCTGGAGCAGGCAGTGCTACAGGTGAACGTTCCCTGTCTCCAATCCACCCAGCAGTCCTTTCAGCCAAATGCTAAATACTGATAAAGATTAATTGATAGAGAGCTAATATTAAAAGGAGGATTTTACAAACCTCCTTCTAGTCATATTTTATAACTAAATTTCTTTTAGTTATATTTAGAATAGAATAAAATATAATTATGTTTAGTTTAGATATATTTTATTATGGTCATATTTATATTATGGATATTGATATAATATAGAATATCATATTTTAATATAGATTAATAATGAAAATTATGATCATTAAATAATTACAATTAATATAATTGATATAAGTTAATATAGTAAATTAATGATATAATATAGTTTATAATATATTTATATTATCATTATTTATATTATACTATGAATATATTTACTTATATTTTTCTCCCAGTTATATTTTATAACTCCTCCTAGTTATATTTTAACTAAAAATTTCAAAGGGCTTTGTTTCTAGTTATAAAATACAATGAAACGGAAAATGCATATTCTCTCCTCAACCAAGATACACCAGTTACCATATGTCTAAGCAGCAGCCCTATACAGAGATATCCTGTTCATGCATTTTTAAAACAATTTCATGCACACAGTTTTTTGTTTACTATCCACTCAATGATAAATCATGACTATTTCTTATTTTAAGAAATTATTTTATAGTATGTGTCTTTAGGCAGCTAAGCAAAATGTGAGTGAAACGTTATTTACTTAATCTGTATTTACTATCAGAAATTTGGTTTGGGGTATTCCCTATAGTTGGACAAAGCTGCATTTTCAATGACATGAAAAAAAATTTAAAGCTTCTGTTAAATATTTCCAAACTATCCCAAAGAAAGGAAGTGCACACATTCAGAACTTCACCATCAATTTATAGCAGTTCTTCCATTAATAGAAATTATGATTAATACAAATATTTCATACAATGAAATAACTTATTGTGATAAATTATCTCTCTGGAAGATTATTTACATCAATACCTTTCCTTTATGCATTTAGTTATTTGTAGTTTTCATATGGATTATGATTCATATCCTTTCACCATTTTCTTTTATGGTATTTTCTTTCTTCATGCTTCATAAAAATTCTCTATAATTTAAAGATTTGGAGGTTGGTCATATTTGTTGCACGTTTCTTTGAGATGACTGTTCATTTATTCATTGGCTGCTATTTCAGGCACAATGATAATATGGAAAACACAGTAGTGTAGAAACCCCTGCTTGGCAGAGAAAAACTGGATAACCAAGCACACGTAGAGGAGTGTAATGAGCATGGTAACAGGAGAAATGGAAGGACTGTGCCAGGGATATCGCAAGGAGAAGGCAGGGGCACGCAACAGCACATGCCGAGGGCCTGAGCCAGGAAGGAACATGACACATTTGAAGAACAGAGAGAGGTTGAATATTGCTGGAAAATCAAGTGTAAGTTGAATAGAAATGAAATGACAACGCGGAAAAGAGTAAACCATGAACAACCTAGTAAGTCAAGGATTTGGCCTTAAGAACAAAGAGACGCTAAATATCTAGGCAGAAGCATGCAGTAGCAAGTATGGTGTTTTGGTACTTTACTTACTATAGGCAATGGATTAGCAAAACTCAGTACTGTAGCCAGGAAAACCATTTAAGGTTGTTGAAGAATGCAGGTGATACGAGCAAAGGAGTAAGGAGTAGATAACTTTGAAAGACATTTACATGCTGGAATTTACAAGGCTCAGTGGTAGATGGAGTAAGGGAGCAGTCAAGACTGAGCCTGGATTCCTGATTGGTTTAACTTGCAGAGCTGTGCTACTGTAGCAAGAAGGATCTCAAGAGGGGCAGCTAGGAGGTCGGGAAAGAGAGCTCTGTATTTGTTAAATGTTAGGTGTGCCTTAGTTAGGGTTGTTTTGACTGCAAGTTGAACAATAAAATTATGCCTTTATCATACAGACACAGAATTCACAGGTAGGAGGCAAAGACACTAGGCTACGTACTCAATCAGATGGAAAGGGTTTGGTCACATCTTGCAACATGATGAGTTGTATGTGTAGAGATGTGCATGTGCGTGTGTGTCTGTGTGTGTGTGTGTCTGCATGTATCTGTATGCGCTGTATGGGTGTAAAGATGGCACTGGAACTTTTTTAGAAATTCACATATGGATTTTATATTAACAAATATTAAAAGATTATTGTTAATATTGTCAAATATGATATTTTAAATTATATCACTAATATTGTTTTCGATAACAGAATTTGATTTTTAATTTTTTATTTTGGAATTATTTTAGATTTACAGAAAAGTTGAAAGATAGTACAGAGAGTTTCCACATACTCTGCACCCAGTTTTCCCTGTTTATTAACATCTGACATTGCTATAGTCTATTTGCCACATCGAATGAGCCCAGATTCACATAATATTATTAATTAAAGCTTATAGTTATTCAGGTTTTCTTAGTTTTTCCCAAATGTACTTTAACTCTTTCAGGATCTGATACCAGACCCAACACTACATTTACCTGTCATGTCTCCTTAGCCTCCTCAAGCCTCACAGTTTCTCAGAATTTTTTAATTTTTTATGATCTGGGCCTTTATGGGGAGTGCCCCTCAAGCATTTTGTACGCTGTCTCATGATTTATTTTTGATCTCATGTTTTTCTCATGCTTAAACAGAGGTCATGGATTTTGAGGTGAAAACCACAATACTAAGTGCCATTTTATTACACCCTACCAGCCTCTGGACTTAACAAGTGTTAAACTTGACCACCTGGCTGAGGTGGTGTTTTCTTCTTTCTCTCTGTAAAATTACTCTTTCCCCACTTCAGTATTGTACTCTCTGGAAGAATGTCACAATCTACAGCCCAAACTTAGAGGATGTGGATTTAGGTTCTACCTCCTGGTGAGGACAGCATTTACATAAATTATTTCATTCTTCTCTCAGAACTGTCCAGTTTTTCCATTTATTTATGTATGTATTTATTATTATATATTATTTATTTAATCATGTATTTATAACACTATGGGCTCATGATATTTGCTTACATTTCATGTTATAACACAAAACAGTATTATTTATTTTGTTGTTCAAATGATCGCAGCTTTGGCCATCGGGAGCTCTTTTTGTTGGCTTCTGAATTCTTTTGACAAGACCCCCTCATTGTAGTTTGAATTTTGTTTTGTCTGTTTGAGCACTTTGTGGTACTACAAGAAGCTTTAGGTTCATTGTTTGTATTTCTTGCCCTTATCCAAGCTTATCTGGCATATTCATAATGAGATTTTTATTTCATTTTACTTTTACTTTTTAAGAGAGTCTTGCTCTGTTGCCCAGGCTGGAGTGCAGTGGCATGATCTGATCTCGGCTCACTGCAACCTCTGTCTCCTGGGTTCAAGCGATTTTCCACTTCAGTTTCCCAAGTAGCTGGGATTATAGGTGCAAGCCACCACAGCTGGCTAATTTTTGTGTTTTTAGTAGAGATGGGGTTTCAACATGTTAGCCAGTTTGGTCTCGAATGCCTGGCCTCAAGTGATCTGCCCACCTCAGCCTCCCAAAGTGCTAGGGTTAAAGATGTGAGCCACTGTGCCCGGCCATAATGAGATTTTTAACATCAATCTTGATTAAATCTTACGACAGTAGTTGTGAGAAGAGCCCACCAGTGTATGTGCAATGGGTGGTAGAAAGTTGGTGAATGCCCCGTTAGCTAAGTACCAATCTTCAGCCAAGACAAAGTCTGAGACAGTGAGAAAAGTGTTGGACAGTAAGAGGAAAATCTTTGCAAAGAGAAGTGTTGAAGAAAAATAGTTACATATTACTTCCAAATGGAAGGTGATGGAGAGTTGTTTTTTTATTTGAATCATCTCAAGCCATAGGAAAGAGATTTAAATGGGACTGTTTAGAAAATTGAAATGTATCTAATTTAGGATTGAGAATGGTGGGCAGAAGAAACTCATTGGGAAGGGTTTGCACTTCCATAGTACGTTTGGGCAAAGTGCCTATCAGTATTCTCCATGAGCCAAATTAAAACATAAGGCTTAAAATCAAGTACATAATATAAATATCTAAGGACATTCATCTAATATCTTTTGTTACAGTGGAAACTGAAAACATCCTAATTTTGAAGTGTGTTCCCCCATACATGTTATCTATTTTCTATAATATGCATTCATTACTTTTGAAAGTAATATTTTACATATTTTTCTTTATTTTTAACATCTGAATAAATACCCTTCTAAGCAACAGACCAAGCAGGCCTTTGAGTTCCTCTGAAAGTTGTACATCTTTGCCGCAGTCTCTATAAACAAAAACCTGCATAGCAGCCCTCGGCGAAAGCAAAATGCTCAAGATGACATTTTCCAGGCACCAGCTCAGAACAAATGAGGTTGTTATAAGTCAGCCTGGAAAGCTATTGGTGGAATTCCTTCAGAAACTGGGAAATTTAGAATGGTTTCCCTTAAACCTGAGCTTTACTCATTTTTGTTTTCTAACCCATTGAGAGGTTGCTTATTCCCAAGCACATACTGTGTGACGAATGGGAGTCCTTAGGAAAATTGAAACTCCTCTCTTCCTATTTGCTTCTGGTTGGAGACAGAGACAACTGTCTACATGCCTGTGAAAGCAATAAATCTTATTTACTAAGTCAAAACCTGTACCGGTATGTCATCATCATGGGTGTGTTCAATATCTCGTTTCTGTATCAGAGGAAGCTTTTTAGGATGAACCAGTTGTTGACCCTCTACTCCAAGGACGACCTTTTCTACAAGAAAACATAAGGGGGAAAATCCATCTGACATTAACATTCATCCACAGTGGCTGAAAAACATAATTTTCTAATACAGTTCATTTTCCCCCAGTTAGCAGCCATGGACAGCAACACTATGAAATATTATTCCCACTTTCCTGGCAAGGAAATTGACACTGATATTTACAAATCAGGAGAATATAAGGAAACTTGGAAAGAAATCGGTGTCCCTCTAATTTTTCCATATTTGCATCTTGTTCTGCAGGTATAATTTCATTTTTTATTTTGTTTATTTGTTTTCTTAAGACAGAGTCTCGCTCTGTCACCCACGCTGGAGTAAAGTGGCATGATCTTGGCTTACTGCAGTCTCTACCTCCTGTGTTCAAGTGATTCTCCCACCTCAGCCTCCAGAGTAACTAGGATTACACAGGCACACCACCACGCCTGGCTAAGTTTTGTATTTTTAGTAGAGACAGTGTTTCACCATATTGGCCAGGAGTAACTAGGATTACACATGCACACCACCATGCCTGGCTAAGTTTTGTATTTTTAGTAGAGGCAGGGTTTCACCATATTGGCCAGGCTAGTCTCAAACTCTTGACCTCAGGTGATCTGCCTGCCTCATTCTCCCAAAGTGCTGGGATTACAGGTGTGAGTCACCAAACCGGCCTACAGTTGTCATTTTATTTTCCTCATGCCAGTCTCCGGATTTTGTCTCCTGTCAAAGCCTGCACTGTTGGTCTGTTTAAATGTAAATCACTGAATTTGGTCTTTCAGTTTGTTTGCATTTAAAGTCTTACCTCCCGTAGTTAAGTATAAGACCTTTACCTGTTAGAGAATTTTGGGTAGCCCTGAATCAGTGCTAACCATAATCTTCTATTCATGTCCTATCACCTCGATAGTCACCTGTGAGGTGAGTCCTGCTTGATTAAGGTGTGGTTCTTAAAGAACAATACAGAGGAGAGGGCATGGGCTTTTTGGAATATGCTCTGATTTGAGTCAAAGCTTTACCAGTTTGTTAACTGTGTGGCCATAAGTAGGATATCTAATCTCTCTGATTTGTAAATACTAGTCTCATTTTCCTTATCTGTAAAGTGAAGATATTAATTTCAAGTTTTAAACCCTTTAACATACAAAGCAGCTACTGCCAGCACAGTGCCTGCCAGGTTGCAGGTATGCAGTGCTTGTCTACTCCCTTCTCCTCCTCCTCACTGTGGGTCAGAGTATTCAAGAGTGATATGGCATTACCCAGATGTATAGACTCTCATGATTAGCCACCATCCGGTTGAAGCTCTCGGCAAAATCACCAAAACACAATTAAAGTTTTTATCACTTACAACTTAAAGTCTGTGACTAAAGAGACATGGCCTCATAACATAATAAGAAACTCCTGATAAAAAGAGCAAGACATACCTTTAACCTGAGGAATGAGAAAAATCATCAAGAATATATACCCGGGAAGCATTCTGAATGATTCTGGTGAGGGAGAGCACAAGTGCTTGAGAATGGCGTTCACCTTTCTTCCTCCTCACTTCTACTGCAGGGATGAAGCATCTCACAGATAGGTGGGCAGTTTTGATCCAGCATGAGGAAGTGTTCCTTGAGGGAGTTACACAACTTGCTAGGTGCTTGAGGCTAAAACCTGGAGACTGAACATCATGTTCTAATTAAAGACAACCTCTGTGGTGGTGGTGAAGGTTGGCTGGACATAGATTCCTGGCTTATGTCTAATATAAATTTGATTTCAGATATCTGAAAACTTCAAAAGTGGAAAAAATCAAGAATGTCTTAGAAAAAAATGTTGAAAATATTTATATATATACTTTGGTTGAAGACGGTGAAATTCTTGCTAGGCAGAGTACCCCATGTAAAAACTATAAAGGAACATTTGTTAAAATAAGTAAGAAATATTGAAAATTTCTATAGCCTAAATCACATATTAATTGAAATTTTAAAATAAACCCAAACTCCAGAAATGTGTGCAATAAATGATCAAAAGGTGGGAGTAAGTGTCCTTATAATATAGAAGTCTTTCAAATCAATACAAAAAAAGAGATTACTAATGGACAAATTTGCAAAGGACCTGGACAATTCTATTTGTATGTCTGTGTTCTTGTTGTGTGGCCATGGCCAATAGAATCTCTTTATCTTCGTTTGGGATTCTATTTCTCTCTCACCTCTATATCTCTTCAATATTTTCACAAACTGAATCAATCTATGTCAATTGGAAGCTTCCTTTTGATATTTAGACCCTCTGCTCCAAAGATTGCCTTTTCTACAAGGAAACAGAAGGGGAAAAATCCACCTGGCATTAACATTCATCCACTGTGACTAAAAAACAGAACTGTTCTCATACAGTTCACTTGCTCCCAATTAGCAGCTATGTATAGCAATATTATAAAAGATAATCCTCACTTTCCATGTAGGGAAATTGACAGTGATATGTACAAATTGGGATAAAATAAGCTGACTTGGAAAGGAGGCAAGGAAATCAGTGTCCCTTGGCTTAAAATGGGGGTACCATTTTAAGTCAAATCAAAAGTCTCTCCTTCTTGAAAAATCCTAGTCTTTATTCTCTATGTCACTGTCATTTTCTTTCCCATTTCCTTTTCAGCTAAATTTATTACACGATATCATCTGGACTCCTTGTAATTTTCTTACCTCCAACTTAACCTAATATGTCCCAGTTCTAGCATCTGGCTTTATTATTCTACTGAAATGGCTAATATCGCCACTGATTGTACCATTTCTATATCCAATAGATATTTTGTTTCCTTGTCTCATTTGCCCTCTCAACCACGTATGGCACTGTTGACAACATCCTTCTTCTTGCAATGTTTTATTTAGCTCCCTTGACACAATAGCCTTCTTAACTTCTTCCTGGTTCACTGGCAACTTGTAGGCATATCCTCTTCTACCCAGGATTTAAATTTTTTAGTTCCTCGAGGTATTTATTCAATACCCTGTCTTCCTCCAATTATACTTGTTCCAAAGTCATCTCCTCTTCTGAGGCAGGTGAATCACTTGAGGTCAGGAGTTTGAGATCAACCTGGCAAACATGGTGAAACCCTGTCTCTATTAAAAATACAAAACTTGGCTGGGTGTATTTATTCTATATCCTCTTTTCCTCCAACTATGCTTGTTCCAAAGCCATCTCATCTTCAGTTATCATTGAACTATTGCTATGCTATGCCTCACATTTTATATTTCCAGCCATTTGGGGAAGAGATCTTTACAGCCAAGTTTCTAGTTCACGTCCTCATTGCGAAGGCCCAAAGTCTCTGCAAAATCAATGGGTACAAGACTTAAAATACATCCCCCCCACCCGTGCCACTTCGTCCTCTGGCTTGGCCAGCACTGCCTCATCCCTTTTGTGCTGCAATTCTGAAAGTCAGTATCATCATCGACACCCGTTATAATCAGTCCACCACTTTGTTTTTTTTGCCTCCATTCTAGTCTAAGACTTTGTTTGGCTACGTTACAACGTGTGATTATTTATTTATTTTTTATTTTTGAGATGCAGTCTCACTCTGTCACTCAGGTTAGAGTGCAGTGGTGCAATCTCAGCTACCTGCAACTTCTGGGCTCAAGCAAATCTCCTGTCTCAGCTTTCTGAGTAGCTTAGACTAGAAGTGCACGCCACTATGCCCAGCTAATTTTTGTATTTTTAGTAGAGACATGGTTTCACCATGTTGGCCAGGCTGGTCTCAAACTCCTGACCTCAAGTGATCCACCTGCATCAGCCTCCCAAAGTGCTGGGATTATAGATGTGAGCCACTGCACACAGCCACAAGTGCGATATTTTTAATATGTAAACCTGACCATGGTCATGTGCCTGTTAAAAAAATGCTTCAATAGTTTTTGACTGGTGTTAGAAAAAAGCCTCACTTGGCTTAAACTGCCCAACCCTTATTAACTTTGTGGCTTTGGTTAAGTATAAAACATTTATATACTTCTGTTTTCTCATCTATAAAATGGGCATAATAATATAAATCTGAAAGAGATGATGTGAATATTAAATGAATCTGTGCTGACAAGCCATCTTTTATTTGGTAGTTAATTCACTCCCTGCTTCTCTTAACTATTGTACACCCTTTCTCCTTTCCGTAAATCTCTGAATCTCCTCTTCCTTACTCTCATCTGGGCAACTCGACTTTCTATTTCACTGGAAAAAAATAAACTATCATAGGAACTCTCACTTTTTCCCATTGTCGCATCTACCTTATAATGTGTGCCTGTATAGAATCATTCCTTCCTGTTTTTATGCATGCACTGTTCATGCTTCCAAGGTCTATTCATCTTCAATAGGTAGGATTCTATTCCTTCCCCTCCCCTCAACATCATCACTCCAGCAATTATTCCCCATCTTTACCATATCATTTCATTTAATATATGTATAAACATGATCAGTTTTTCTATCCTCTGAAAAATATTTCTTCTTTTACATCACTCTCCCTTCACACGGCTACTACCCATTCTTGGATTCTAATGGTAAAATTTCAAAAAAATAAATGTCTACAGTTTGTTTCTAGTTCCTTTCTCCCTATTTGTTCTTGAAATTAGTCCTGTTAGACTTTTTATCCTTTGCTCAACAAAGCAATGTTACGAATGATCTGAACCTTGCTAAATTCAGTGATGAATTTTCAATCCTTACTCACTTGATCTTTGAGCAGCATCGGACGCAGTGGATAATTACCATCTTTTAAAAGGAGTTCCAGGTCCTAAAATGCAATAAAATAAATCAATAAATTAATTAATCTAAAAAAAGGAGTTGAGTCCCTGGTGCACGATGGATTTCCTCCACGCTGATTGACAGTGCCTTCTTGGTCTCCCATGTTGCATCCTATTTATCTCCCAAGTGAATAAATGCTATAATTCCCGTGGCTTCATTTTTGAGACTTTTCACTTCTCTATAAACTAATGAGGTGGTTCCTAGTCAATCTTTTGGTCTTCCATATGATGTATAAAATGATGGCTGCCAGATTTATTTATCTAGCTTGATCTCCTCTGAAGTTCAGACACATAGAGGCAACTCTCTTTTCAACATCTTCATTTGGAGGACTAATGGATCTCCCAAGAACGAGTACAAAGCCAGATTCCTTCTCTCCCCCTCCAGTCCTGGTGTTTCCATCATCTTTTCTATCTTAGGATATTGCAACTTCATTCTTTCAGTTACTCAAGAGTCATCCTCAGTTCATCTGTTTTCTCCACACTTTGCACTCCATCCTTTAGCTAATCCAGTTGCCACTATCCTGAAAAGGCATCAAGGCTCTGACCATCTGTCACCACAGTTACTGCTACTGTGCTGATTCTTGGATGATCTAGATGTTATCGTCTCTAGCCTAGTTTATTGAAATGAAACTCTTAATTAGTCTTACTGTTTTTCTCTTGGTTCCTCACAATGTATTATCCACCTATTACTAGAATGATCTTATTAACATGCATCACATTATGTGATTTCTTCTGTCCAAACTTTTTAGTAACTACCATTTTCAGAGTAATAGGCAAAGTTCTGATAGCTCCAGGATCTACATGATCTAGCCTGATGTTCTCTGGCTTCATATCTTACTACTCTTCCTCTCCCTCACTCTGAATCTATTACCAGGTGTCCTTGGCATCTATTGAGCATGCCAAGCTCATTCTGCTTCAAGGGTCTTTTTTTTGGCATTCCTTCTTTCTGGAATGTGACCCTCTCAGTCACACATCTGTCCTTTTCTCTCCTTTCAGATCTCTATTAAACATAACATTTTGTAAATCTTCTCTAAGGACCGTATGCAAAATAGACCTGCCCACTCCCACCCTGGCACCTCTAAGCCCTTTTGTGCCTTGTATTAGTCACTATCTGAAATGCTATATATTTACTTGTTTGTTTACTCATTTTTCATAGCTTGACTCCACTCCTTAAAATGTAAATCTGTGATGATCAAATTGTGTCTGTTTTGTTTATCACCTTATCTTTATTGCCTAGAACCATAGATTGTCAGTATAATTTTTTATTGAATGAATGTATAATAGAATACATTTACTACCTTGGAAAGATTATCTGGTACATAGTAAGCACTCAATAAAAGTAAACTATGGGCCTTTTCCTCTAGGAAGTCCCCTCTCTCTCACTAGAGAAAGAGAGCTGTTTTCTTTTCTCTTTCTTTCTTTCTCTTTCTCTTGGTATTAAACCTCCGCTCCTAAACTCCTCGTGTGTGTCCATGTCCTAAAATTTCCTGGTGCGAGATGACAAACCCCAGGTATTTACTCCAGACAATGCAGCTGTTTTATATTGGGGACCTGGTCCAGATACAAAGGTTACAACATTCATCAAAACAGACGAATAGAGAAGCTTCAACTCTGTCCTTTCATTTTGGGGCTCTCAGCCTCCATTTTAGAACCAAATCAAATCAATAATGGGCATCCGTCAGCCAGTTAAAAGCACAGTTAGTGTGGCTACCATTTTTTATTTGTTTGTTTATTTGTTCGTTTGAGATGGAGTTTTGCTCTTGTTGCCCTGGCTGGAGTACAGTGGCATGATCTTGGCTCACTGCAACCTCTGCCTCCTGGGTTCAAGCAATTCTCCTGCCTCAGCCTCCTGAGTAGCTGGGATTACAAGTATGCATCACCACACCCAGGT